CTAGAACGATGCTCTACCTTCTGAGCTACAAGGTCAAGCTGAGAACGACTTGTTAAGTTATGATGTTAGTTGCATTTCGGAGGTTAGTCCTTCAATGCGTATAGCCAGATATTAGTCTGGCAATGTTGTATGTGAATGTTGCCGTGGTTTCCCACGTTTACGATTCCACTCGTGTAACGTTATGTACCGGTTTTTGAGTTGTTTTTTCAGACGAGTGTATACCAAACCGGGCAGGCAGAGAATTCTACTTGACCGCGGCTGGGATTCGAACCCGCGACCTTCGCATTTCTAGAACGATGCTCTACCTTCTGAGCTACAAGGTCAAGCTGAGAACGACTTGTTAAGTTATGATGTTAGTTGCATTTATACGCATTGAAGGACTAACCTCCGAAATGCAACTAACATCATAACTTAACAAGTCGTTCTCAGCTCGACCTTGTAGCTCAGAAGGTAGAGCATCGTTCTAGAAATGCGAAGGTCGCGGGTTCGAATCCCAGCCGCGGTCAAGTAGAATTTTCTGCTTGCCCGGTTTGGTATACACTCGTCTGAAAAAAAACAACTCAAAAACCGCTACATATATATATATATATATATATATATATATATATATATATATATATATATATATATATATATATATATATATATATATATATATATAATATAATATAACAACTCATAAACCGCTACATAACGTAACACGAGTGGAATCGTCAACGTGGGAAACCACAACATTCATATATATATATATATATATATATATATATATATATATATATATATATATATATATATATATATATATATATATATATATATATATATATATATATATATATATATAACATCATACCTTAACACGTCGTTCTCAGCTTGACCTTGTAGCTCAGAAGGTAGAGCATCGTTCTAGAAATGCGAAGGTCGCGGGTTCGAATCCCAGCCGCGGTCAAGTAGAATTTTCTGCTTGCCCGGTTTGGTATACACTCGTCTGAAAACAACTCATAAACCGCTACATAACGTAACACGAGTGGAATCGTCAACGTGGGAAACCACAACATTCACATACAACATTGCCGGACTGATAGCTGGCTTTACGCATTGAAGGACTAACCTCCGAAATGCGACTAACATCATAACTTAACACGTCGTTCTCAGCTTGACCTTGTAGCTCAGACGGTAGAGCATCGTTCTAGAAATACGAAGGTCGCGGGTTCGAATCCCAGCCGCGGTCAAGTAGTTTTCTGCTTGCCCGGTTTGGTATACACTCGTCTGAAGACAACTCAAAAACCGCTACATATATATATATATATATATATATATATATATATATATATATATATATATATATATATATATATATATATATATATATATGCATTATTTTAAATGGCGCAAACGCAAACGAAGACTCATCCAACCGCCCTTGAAGTGGAAATTTTTAATCCGCGGATATCCATCGAAGCCTAAGAAAATGTTGAAAAAGTAATCCACAAGTTTTGGGATAACTTTTGAAGTTGTCAGCTGCTTCTTAATTTATCTCTGGTATACGTTTCGACATATTTCGAATTATGACCATATGACAAACGATTTCAAGCCCCATATTTTTTACCCCATCTACAATTAAGAAGGTTGTCACACAAATGGTATTTTTCGATGGGTATAGTTAATGATCGTGGTTTGGGGCAGGCTTTTAACGGGGATGTCAAAACTACCCATCGAAAAATACCATTTATTTATTTAGATTGACTAAAATCCCCGAAGGGATAAAAAGAACTTTTTTTTGAGCAGCTAAACCAGTCCTCATTTCCTCTATCATAATCATAACAGTCATAACCATCATCACAGTCATAACCACCATCACACAACAAGTATCGATCAACACATTGACTTATCTCTACATTGGAACTGGCAGTTGTAACAATACTGTATTAAAGGAGTCACTATCCAATATTTCGCAAAGAAAAAGGTATAGAATGAATATATAGAAGATGTGGAATGGCACACATTGTATAGATAAAGTCAAGAATGCAAGGCTGAGATGGAATGGACACGTAGTCAGAAGTGATAAGGGAAGTGGCTGATCACACACACTATACGAATAAGATGACTATGAGAACAGAGGACGGACGAGACCCAACATGAGATGAATAAACATTTTAAAAAAGATCTAAATGTCAACGAACTGCCGGTGCACATGACAAGGAAGAGAAAAGGATGGAATAAACGAATCCTGGCAGCCAAATCCGGATCAGCCTGCAATTATCACGGGAGAAAGAAGTGGAGTGTCTTGCTTTATAGTAGCAGGATGAGATTCACTTGCAAACAAGAGAACGACGTAAACTTAATGAACTTCATCAAATAGCACGCACGAATTTTATTAAAATAATATTACATTCTACTTACTTCTTGACGAAGGTTGAATTGATGCACTGATTCGACTCGCTATAAGAATAAAAAATTTGAGAATTCTTATCTAAATACATTGATAGAACTATTGATGTCCTCTCATTAGTGTTTCGAAAATATGTATCATAAGAGAACTATAACTAACGATTTCACAAAAATTCATGAACAAAACACAAATTACATGCAGAGTTGTAGACTCGAGTCGTGTGACTTGGACTCGAGTCGGACTCGAGTCGCAATTTTTGTGACTTGTGACTTGACTTGTTAAAGAGACTGATGACTTGTGACTTGATTTGGACTTGGACAAAATGACTTGTGACTTGACTTGGACTTGCAAGAAATGACTTGTTACCAACGCAAGTCAAACGTAAATATCTAGTGAAAATCAAGTTTTCCAAAATCTTTGTGTTGATCGATCGATCGTCGTGTTGTACAATTTGGGCAACGACCTTAGTACATATCAATGGCATCGACAGAATTTGTACCAGCGTATTTTCTGACAAAGCGGGGGTTTTTCGCGATTTCGTGGTAAAATTTCTGACATAAAAATAACGACGCCATATTTACATATTTTGCCGTTTTGCGCGGGAAAACATGGCCACATGTGGCGATAAAATGACTTGTGACTTGACTTGAATTGACTTGCCACTCGGAATGACTTGTGACTTGACTTGGATTTAGACAAAATGACTTGTGACTTGACTTGAACTCCGACCAAATGACTTGTGACTTGACTTGGACTTGCAGGAAATGACTTGTGACTTGACTTGGACTTGCAACATAGGACTCGTTAACAACTCTGATTACATGCATTAGTTCTGTATCGTTATCCAGCACCGCAATAAATTCCATACCTTTCATACAAGTTATTCGCTTTTATAGACATAAGGCAAAGTAATAGTATAAATATACAAAATTCCTGTAACTCACCCCAAAAACAAACTACAATAAATGACTGTTAGTTCAGTGGTGCCGCAAGAATATTCTATCAAGGGGGCAACTTAATAATCACGATTTTATGGGGGTACGGGGGAATGTTCCCCCAGAAAAAACAGAATTTTGGGCCTCTGAAATAACATTTCCTGCATTGTGGAGATACTTGGAGAAAATGTAAAGGTCTTAAAAATAATATAACCTTTAATACTTGACAATTTAATTTAGTACGAGACATACAGTAACATATAGCTTTAAGAACAGAGTTGACGAAATCCTGTGAGTAGATGCGCGCAAGATATCCAACTACAATGCCTGCTTACAATTATCACCCACCAACCCAATTCTTTATCTGCTTTGAACAGACTTAAAACTACACTCTAAAAACATTGAGGGAGGACCGACAATTCCGACGAAGAGAAGATGGAGACGTTCAGATACATTACGGAGCTGGACGTGGACATTGAAGAACATGCAGTTGGAAAACCGACAGTGGACAATTACCAGCTCATAAAATACCAAACAAGAAAATACTAAAGATGCTTGCATTAAACTCACTTGTTAACGAAGGTTGAATTGATGCACTGGTTGAACTTGCTATAACAAACAATAAATAAACAATTTAACTTTTATAAAAAGCTGTCTCCATCAAATGAGATAGCTTGCTCCTCTCCGCAAAATTTGATAGTAAAATTATAGCATACCGCAGTTCCAATACCATTCATCACTACCATCAGAGCAATGACTCCATCCATCACAAAGATAATATCGATGCACACATTCGTAACCATTATCACATCCGAATTGCCAATATTGACAAACAGACCGTGTTGCTGAATAAAATTAATATAATATGCGTGGTTACTCAAGATTCTTATGAAACTACAAGCAAAAGGATTTCCTCGTTATTGCAATTTTCTCCATTCCTACCTATTAATTAATTTTGAGAATCTAATAATCTATAGCCTTACAGCCTGTTTGTTCCTAATGACAGTAAATCCTATAATAACGCTCTCCTTACTGTATATTAGCAGATTAACGTTTACTTGTGAAGACGACGACTAGCAATTCATGAAGTTCATCAAAAAGCACGCAAGAAATTCACTAAAATACTATTCCATTACATTATTACATTATTATTCAGCTCACTCCCCATCTGGGGCTTTTCAGTGACCGATTACATCAAGTATTGCGCTCATGTTACTTACTTAACCTAGACTATTTATCTTTACAACAATTGAGATCTGTTTATCCTAACCCACCCTGTCAGATTGTCGGATGGGGGAGAAAACCGGCGCACCCAGAGAAAACCCACCACTTATGGCAGAATCTTGACAGACTCTTTTCACATGAGTACGAAGCGAGAACCAAACCCACGATCTCAGATGTGAAAGGCGCTTTGTTAAGTTATGCTCATAATACTTCATATAACAATAATGTAATTAGTTGTGATTTTAGTTCAGTTAACCAATGATATGATTAAGACAATAAATACAATATATTTCCTGTAATAGCATGTATAGCATGATTAATAATTATTCTGACCAATTGTAATTTAGCACATTGTAACATAAACGCACTTGATGTAAAATAAAACTTAGTTCTTGTATGCTTCCACAGAGTGTGTATCTCTTGTAATAAAGAATGACAATTATATAATAATGACAACTACAACGAACTCAACAGGTTATGGGCCCAGAAGAGGCTTGCTATTCGACGGTAACGAAAGCAAATATGAGTTGTGGGAAGTAAAGTTCCTGGGCTATATGCGGCTACAAAAGTTATACAAAGTATTCGTGCGACACACAAGCGAGAAAGACCCACCAGACGCTTCGACGCAAGCTGATGCTTTTGCCAAACTCGTGCAATGTCTGGACGATAGAAGTTTATCGCTAGTGATACGAGACGCGAGAGACGACGGAAGGAAAGCGCTAGAAGTTCTCAGACAGCACTACCAAGGGAAGGGAAAGCCACGTATAATTTCGCTTTATACCGAACTGACATCGCTAAAGAAAGAAGAGAACGAGCCAATAGTCGATTATGTCATACGAGCCGAGTCATTTGCGACAGCGTTACGAAATGCCGAGGAAGCTATCAGCGACGCATTGTTAATCGCGATGGTTTTGAAAGGCTTACCGAGGGAATACGACACGTTTGCTACGGTAGTTGTGCAAAGAGAGAAACAAATGAAAGACACATGGTGGAAAGGCTGCCAGCGCGGAGGAGAATATCATGTTGACGAAGCAAAAGTTCGATGGGAACTGTTTTAAATGCAAGAGGAAGGGACATAAAAGCGCGTAGTGTTGGTCGAAGACATCGGAGATATGGTGTAGCAACTGTAAGAGTAAAACCCACGAGACAAAGAATTGCCGGAAGAAGAAAGATGCGGCGAAGACAGCAGCCGAGAAGACAACGTCAAGTGAGAACAATGAACATACGTTTGCCTTTACATCCAAGGACACAATTAATAAATCAGGTATAAATAATAAGAGTAATTCTACAATCTTGGCCATAAACCGTAGGACGACGATAAATTTTTATGCATTTTTAAGGCCTGCCCCCTTCCCCCCCCCCCCCCCC